TTCGATAATGATCAGTATAGATGGACTCTTGAAGATATGCCTTTCCATCCTCGTGGCTGGTGTTGTAAAGCTTACAGGCCCGGTGCTTGTTGTCCACGTCGAAGGATCGACAATCGAAGACGGTCTGACGAGCACACTGGCTGGCACAACCCTCTACGTCGGACAGGTTATAGACCACACGGACGGAAACTCCAGTCAGCATCAGTTGGGGCATGCGTGCAAACAGGTTGTGGAACTTCGTTGGTAGTTCTGGGAAAACATAAAATAACTCAGTCAGCAACTGGTTGATAACACTGAAACAAAGGACCCTTTTCCATGTCTTCAAGCGTACTGGGCACATAGGGCTAGTCCTATATTTTATTGACCAATCGGCACACGGTTGAGGATGTGGTCAGCATGATGCTTTACTTCCCAGGACTCTATCTGGTACCCATGTAAGGCTGGGCCGACCTAGAAGCCAAATTCATTTTTGTTGAAAACAAAATCCACATCCGTGAGAATCTGAACCCCCGAACTTCAGATCCACACAGGAGCGTCTAGCCATGACCTGCTCCAGCTGACGGGCCGTTCTGCTGACGTCACCGGGTCGGGCTAAGGATGCGTTAACGCAGCGGTTCTCAAACTGGATGCTGAGGCAACCTGGGGTGCCTTGAGCGTATGCCAGAGGTGTGGCGACAATAATCAAGAAAATTCAGCTAAAAATTGTGAAATTATTAAAGAAGGCATTTAGACTCTTAAATATTAAAATTTAAGTTGTCTTCCCTTGCCACTGTCGAAAATAGTTTATTTCTTGTTTGAGAACCGCTGGGTTAACGCATCGTTAGCCCGACCCAGCGACGTCAGCAGCACGGCCCGTCAGCTGGAGCTGGTCGTGGTCTAGCCGCTTGACCACGAGAGCTCCCAGTAAAGGGTTGAGGGAGAAGGAAATATGGACCTGGTTAGAGAAACAAAACTTAGGTAGTTTTTTTCTAAAATATGTGCCCTATATTTGGGTTTCGGGGCCCGATGTTGGGTGGGGAGGGAGTGGTTGTGAGAGGGAAGTGGAAAATGATCCACTGCTCCCCTAAAAAAGGATGCTGTAGGATGTGACTAATTAAGGGTCTTTCTTTCGCAACCGAAGGGTATCAGACAAGGAACCAACAGTTTGCATTCAAGTAAGACACATCCGTAAAACTGATTTGCAACACTCAAGTCATTGAAGATCAAAGTCCGTAAGTCGACTAAAAGCTAGGACTTTCTGCCGGAGTTTACAGCCAGGAAAGGCTAAGATAGACATAAATGGAACATGTTATGGGAAGAAATGAACCGGAACACCTGGTGACAAATAGCAAGTGACACAGAAGAAAGGGGAATGCAAAGTGGTAAATACCTTGAGCGCTTAGCCATATGAATGGGGGGCTAGAAAGAACACTGACCTGATCCATAATTCTGGTGATCGTATAAGGTGGCCAAACATTACCGCCTACTGTTATCAGTAGGGCACGAGACGCTACTGATGATGATAGATTGGTTCAATCGCGCATGCCAGCTTAGCCAATCAATGAAAACATCAAATGCGATTGGACAACCTTATCAAGGAAATTAATAATCAGGTAATCCGAACAATGCATTTAACCAATCAGGTTAATGAAATAACCGAATGACGGGAATCAAAGGGACCAATAATATAAATGAAGAAATCACACGTGACTGGTCTCACCTAATTTTACTGCATATAAACTAGACACACACATGACAGGAGAACTGAGTAGGATAAGAATAGGATGAGAAGTGGACAAGTAATATAATGCGATTGTTGTCGTGGTTGTGGTGGCAGTAGTAGTAGAAGCCTGAGCATTGGAATGTCAGCTATACACAAGACACAAGGACAAGAATGATAGTTACACTAGCAACACAAGTCAAATATACATAAGTAAATGAGACAGGCTATACAAAGTCACAAAAGACAAGCCAGATATACATAGACATTTGAGACAGGGTGTACAAAGTCGCACAAGACAACCCAGATACATATAAACATATAAGACACGCTATACAATGTTCCACAAGACAACCAAGATACATTTATAAGACACACTATACATAGTTCCACAAGACAACCAAGATACATATAGACATATAAGACACGCTATACATAGTTCCACAAGACAACCCAGATATATATAGACATATAAGACACGCTATACAAAGTGGCACAAGACAACCCAGATACATATAAACATATATGACACGCTATACAAAGTGGCTCAAGACAAGCCAGATACATATAGACATAAAAGACACGCTATACAAAGTGGCACAAGACAACCCAGATACATATAGACATATAAGACACGCTATACACAGTCTCACAAGACAACCCAGATACATATAGACAGATAAGACATGCTATACTTAGTCGCACAAACAAGCGAGCTATATAAATTACTATATTTCCTTTCGTAAAAGAAGATCGTACGCATACGTTGCGCCTTGATTTTAGACCAGATATAAAAAAAAAAAAAAAATTATCAGCTATAGTTATTGTACCAGAATTATTTAATTATGTATGTCACTTTTCCGTCTTTAGACGATAGTGTTATGGTGCGATATGAGGAGGCATGAGACTCACAGCCCATGGCGATGTCGAGTGGGACTAGCAAGACCCGCCTGCGTCTTCCACAATTAGAGCGTGAGTTTCATGATAGAATCCAGATAACTTGTCATCATTTAAAATTTCACCACATGATAGTTTTTTTTTTTACCTTCTCCTTATCAGTGTCTTATGACGCCTCACTGTTTTCATATATCGCCTCATCCTCAGCCCCATCTGTTACATATGAAATACCACACTTCTTGAATGGCTTAACAACGATTTTAATCTTTATACAATCCGAGGATCTCGTCACCCAGGTACAGACTTCTCCTATAGTTGGTTTATTCACACTTCCTGCTGGTGTTAAACTGTCCCCAAAAGGCCCCACCCATTGGTTTCTTCACAATATCTGCTGGTGTTAAACTGTCCCCAGAAAACTTCACCCATTGGTTTCTTCACACTATCTGCTGGTGTCAAATTGTCCCCAGAAGACTTCACCCATTGGTTTCTTCACACCACCTGCTGGTGTCAAATTGTCACCAGAAGACTTCACCCATTGGTTTCTTCTCACCACCTGCTGGTGTCAAATTGTCACCAGAAGACTTCACCCATTGGTTTCTTCACACCACCTGCTGGTATCAAATTGTCCCCAGAAGACTTCACGCATTGGTTTATTCCCACTATCTGCTGGTGTCAAATTGTCCCCAGAAGACTTCACACGTTGGTTCCATTCGTCTCTAATGGCAACTTTGAAGTGTTTGGTAATGCTGACGTTAAGTGGTTGAATCTTAGTGTACACAGTAATTCCTCATGTAACAAGTGCCAAACAATGCGGGAGAAGGCAAGCGCAAAAACAACTGCAGCGGGAAAATACCTTTATTTTTTTTTATAAATACACACTTTTTTCTCAATTTGTATGTTGCCTCTGAACCGACAAGGCCAAAAAAGGCCCCATACAGGATATTTTCTAACAAAACATTTGCTAAATTCTATTACCGTTGTATAAGATTTACCCTGGGGTTTTTAAGACCCAATTGTGTGTGTGTGTGTGTGTGTGTGTGTGTGTGTGTGTGTGTGTGTAAACAATAAATATACTTGGGGAATTACGGTAGGTAATACAGACAGATAAGCTCAACAAAGTTGCCCATACACAAGTATAGAGAATATCCATATGAGAGAATAGCGAAGACAGATAAGATATACGGAGACTTACACAGTTAAGTGAGATAAATGAGGCAGAGTATAGATGCAAGCTATACAAAGTCTGACAAAGACAAGTGAGATAAATGAGGTAGCCAGTGCAAGAGTTGTTGCGTGGTCAAAAAGACGACAGCTTCTGTGCCAGTTTGCCATGGACAACTTGTCTCTCTGCCAGTTTACCATGGACAACTTGCCTCTCTGCCAGTTTGCCATGGACAACTTGACGTGGCAACTAATCTCGGACCTGTCAGGCTTGTAGGACACCAGATACGGTGCGTCCGTGAACGCTTCTCTCCTGGAGTCTGTCTGACCTTATCGACAACCAGTCCGGACTAGCAGACATCGTCTCTCCCAATACTCCCCATTTATCTCATTTCCGTTGTTATTTTTCGTTACTTTCCTGGTCTTCTTTCAGCCAGTTATATCCTTCGCCTGCATGCTGAAAGTCTAGGGTTTAAATCTATATCCAGGCGGATTTGATTCACAAATTCCTTGATTCTCAGGTCGACTTATTCTAAAATAGATTACAAAAAAAATATTTTTTGGGGGCACAAATGAGACACCTTAAACTTGGGTTCTGGACTACCCACTCCCTACATACCGAAACGAGTGTGTTACTGGTGTACTAAAGTTATCATTTTTACTCATTACTGATTACTGATTTAAGAATCGACATCCTAGCACACCAGGCACACCCATAGGTGCTCCGTCTGCCGCAGCAAATGATGTAAGGTGCAGATGCTGACTGTTTCTGTAGCACACTGATTATACACACACCGATCTCTTCCTCTCATCGGTCCCTCCTTGCAGGATCCACACTTAAAGGATGATGTTTCAGTATACATGTATAAAAAAACAGTGCTGTTCTCGTGCTTATATGCACGCATGCACTGACACACACAAACAAGTAATAGCTGTGACAACAGTTAATAATTAATTGACAGCTCACAGTTACTCCAAAATCAAAGAAGAGAGGGAGAGAAAGGCACATGTGCACATATTCGCATTTAGATAATGACGAATCTCGTAAACTAACAAGATTACGTGACATGAGAGTAAAGCATGGTAAAGCTCGCCTATGCTGAATTAGAGGCCGGGATCGGAGACATTATAACTAGCCTCTCGTGGGAACAGTTAGTAGAAAGACCTTGAAGTGGCTGCTTCATCGGTTGACTGAGCACGCATGGAAATGTCAGGCGTGTAGTGACGTCGATTGTGGTTATATATCATATGCAGCAACGCAATACATAAGATATAAAACACAAGTCTGTTGGAGGTGAAAGGTAGGGGGATGTGTAAATGGAAAAACCACCTACGATTACACATTCTTCAGTAACGCTGTTGTCTAAAGTCAAGAAATTAGAAATATAAGAGAAAGCCCGAAATGGAAGTAGGTGATGAAAGATAAGGAAATGAAGGAGGAGGATGAGGACAAGATTAAAGACAAAGAAAGAAAGAAAGAAAGAAAGAAAGA